AGAAAGGATATCCTTAAGTTGTGGCATGATTCTCTAGTAGGGGACACTCTGGCATTGACAATACTTATAGGAAGTTGGCAGCACTCTTTTGGTGGAAAGGAATGAAAGAAGATATCCAGAATTATGTAAGAGCTTGTGATACATGTCAAAGACACAAATATGACAATGCACCTTACCTAGGGCTGTTGTAACCTCTTTAGATTCCAATAGCAGCTTGGAGTAGTATAAGCATGGATTTTATAGAGAGTCTGCCTAAATCAAAAGGGAAAAGTGTGATTTGGGTGGTAGTAGACAGGCTTACAAAGTATGCTCACTTCATTAGTCTGTCTCACCCATATTCTGCTCAGGACATAGCTAAAGTATTTATAGAAAACATCTACAAGCTACATGGGATGCCATAGGACATTACCAGTGACAGAGACCCCATTTTTACAAGCAAGGTCTGGCAGAAACTGTTTTATATCCTAGGAGTAACTCTGAATACCTCAACTGCCTACCACCCACAAACTGATGGACAGATAGAAATTGTGAATAGATGTGTGAAGACTTATCTATGGTGCTTTTGCTAAGATTCTTAGACTGATTGGGCTCAGTTCTTGGCAGCAGCTGAATGGTGGTATAACACCACCTTTCATACCTCAATTCAAAGCACACCCTATGAGGCTTTGTATGGTCAACCTCCTCCTATACATCTACCATATGTGGCTGGGGACTCAGGGGTAGAAGAGGTAGACAGAAGTTTACTAACCAGGGAATTCAAGGGGAAACTACTCATCATCTAAAGAGAGCACAACAACGAATGTTGTCTCAAGCTAACAAGCACAGGTCCGACAGGCAGTTCAAAGAGGGGGACTGGGTCTATCTCAAAATCCAGCCATACAGGCAAATCTCTATGTCGGGAAAGCCCTTTTCCAAGCTATCTGCTAGGTACTATGGTCCTTATCAAATTCTACAAAAGGTAGGGCATGTAGCCTATAAGCTATCACTTCCCCCTCAACTTCTCCTACACTCTACCTTCCATGTATCTCAGCTTAAGCTTTGCCATGAGCTACCAGCCACTATTTCTCACCCACCAGTCATAGACCTATCAAATCCTTATTGTCTTCTACCTGAGAAAATCTTGGAAAGAAGAATGATTCAAAAGGGAAACAAGGCTGTGGCCTAAATCCTAATACAATGGAAACAGGTACCTGTTGAGTGTGCAACTTGGGAAGACTATCGCACTCTGAAAGTACGTTTTCCACCTTTTCTTCCTTGAGGACAAGGAAGATGTTAAGGAGGGGGAACTGATGCAAGTTTGGAAGCTGCAGCTATTCTGGGTTGTACGAAGAGCTTGCGCAGTAGTACTTAGCAGTTAAGTTAGTTAAGAGAGTCCTTTAGTTGAAGTTCTGAGTATGAGCAATTGAGTCCTGTATTAATTTAAATGTAAGTTTTGGTAAAGACACATTGACCCCGTTACTTGTCAATTCTAGGCTCTTGGGGTCCACTAGAATTAGTTAAACTCTTTTGTCTTTTAGCTAGTACTGGAGGCATATATACTCTGTAATGGGACGCTGAAATCATAAATGAAAATATCCTATTTTAATTTCTTCTTCTCTTTCTTAGGTAGTTATAGATTTAGCCCTAAAATCTAGTTGCCGCATCAAAATGCGAAAAAGAGTTAGATTTTGATATCAGGTTAGGGCAATGGGGTATTTGAATTAGAAGCATTATAATGCATGTAGTTCACTTATGATTCATTTGAACTGAATATGAATATGATGTGGCAAAAAAGAAAAAGGAGGAATAATTTGAAACGAAGAAAACTACGGAGTACCTCACTATTTTATAAAGCATGTTTGGTGCGATAGAAAAATATTTTCAGGGACGTGATTTATTTTCCTTAAAAGAGTTCTAAATAAATGCTTTACACTATTTGGTTGAAGAGTGATTAAATATGATTAGGAACCACCGATATGAGCTACGGTGTAATACATCCTTTTCTTCCTACATAATGTGCTTAATTTTGCCTGGTGAATAAGCTCTAGATATGAACATGCAATTAGGACCCTACAAAGTTAGTGTTCTATTATTTTAACATAAAAAAAAAAAACGGGGGGGGGGGTGGGGGGAGGGGGTAGGGGTGGGC